CAAGGTGTTCCAACTAACCTCAGACAACATCCTCAGCCTCAAGGAAAAAGCCATAGGTAGCAGCGGTTCCCGTGTCACCAGGTTTAACGTTGTCACCGCCCATGTATGGTAATTTAAAATGGGAGGAATATCTCTCTCTATGGATAAAAATACCTTAAAAGCAATACAACATTAAATCGTCAACCATAATTAAACAATAAATTTCACTTATTATAGAACAATATTTAATGAATTAATTATGCTTCATTTACTTTACAGCTGACATCTTTCAAATGTGGTGGCTTCGCAATCGGGTTCACAACCAGTCATACCACCTTCGACGGACTCAGCTTCAAAACTTTCTTAGACAACCTCGCCGCGTTGGCTGCTAACAAGCCCTTGGCTGTGATACCATGCCACGACAGGCACCTCCTGGCCGCACGATCTCCGCCACGTGTCAGCTTTCCACACCCCGAGTTGATCAAGCTCGGTAACCTACCCACAGGCCCCGAGTCCGGGGTCTTCGAGGCCTCCAAAGAAGAACTCGACTTCAAGGTGTTCCAACTAACCTCAGACAACATCCTCAGCCTCAAGGAAAAAGCCATAGGTAGCAGCGGTTCCCGTGTCACCAGGTTTAACGTTGTCACCGCCCATGTATGGAGGTGCAAGGCGTTATCCGCACCGTACGATGCTGCTAGGGCATCCACCATACTATACGCCGTGGACATACGTTTTAGATCTAGACCTAAGATAACCTAAATCACCTAATTCAATTGTTCATTGTTCTTGAATTTCATTGAAATTGTTAGATCACAACTGCATTTTACGTTTTTATGAAATTCAATAGATTTATATTTGGATTTACATTTGTGTTGATTTAATTTGATTGAATTCAAATTATAACTTGAACCATAAGAATTTTATTACCTTAAGGATTGAAATCTTGAATCGATACATTTTTTTATTGAATTTTATATTTTTATTTGTAACATTTTAATTTTTCTTTGCTATTCATAAAAAATTTCTTCCTAATTGGGTGATAATTTTGGATCCTATTAACTTGTTTCTTCGAGAAAAATGACCTAGGTTGTTATCTATATTACAAACCTTTGGAAAAAATTCTAGTAATTTTTTACTGTGATTCGACAAATTTATCAATAACCAAACACACTCAATACATTTTTTTTATATAGAAATAGTATCAATGTTAACATATAACTAACACTATCAAACACAATAACCCATTAACAATACATCAATCATTAATCTCACTATGCAATTCAGTCACATGTGAATATGATATGCAATACACACAGACTCATGATTTTCATGCATATGGTACCAATCACAAGATATGTGGAAACCCCTCATTCATCTCTCCCCAGTCTATAATAGACCTAGCATACTCATCACTCATTCTCATTGTACCCTCCCTCACCATCTCCACCAACCTCGACAAAGGACCCTTCTCCAGTTCCTCGCACTCCGCTGTCGCGTACGCCGTCAACACCGCGTTGCCGGCATACCCTTTCGGCAGCGGAGGGTTCAGCCGTGAACGTATGTCCACGGCGTATAGTATGGTGGATGCCCTAGCAGCATCGTACGGTGCGGATAACGCCTTGCACCTCCATACATGGGCGGTGACAACGTTAAACCTGGTGACACGGGAACCGCTGCTACCTATGGCTTTTTCCTTGAGGCTGAGGATGTTGTCTGAGGTTAGTTGGAACACCTTGAAGTCGAGTTCTTCTTTGGAGGCCTCGAAGACCCCGGACTCGGGGCCTGTGGGTAGGTTACCGAGCTTGATCAACTCGGGGTGTGGAAAGCTGACACGTGGCGGAGATCGTGCGGCCAGGAGGTGCCTGTCGTGGCATGGTATCACAGCCAAGGGCTTGTTAGCAGCCAACGCGGCGAGGTTGTCTAAGAAAGTTTTGAAGCTGAGTCCGTCGAAGGTGGTATGACTGGTTGTGAACCCGATTGCGAAGCCACCACATTTGAAAGATGTCAGCTGTAAAGTAAATGAAGCATAATTAATTCATTAAATATTGTTCTATAATAAGTGAAATTTATTGTTTAATTATGGTTGACGATTTAATGTTGTATTGCTTTTAAGGTATTTTTATCCATAGAGAGAGATATTCCTCCCATTTTAAATTAATAAAATAAATTAATTTTGCACTGATTAAAAAAATTCAATAAATATGTTTAATTTTCACAATTTTACATAAAAACATAGATTACATTTTTAAAATATATTTAACTATATTTATGATAGATAATACTCTAGTTTATTATCATACGATTATTTTTTGATTTATGAACATAAATAAAATTAAATTGATTGAAATTTACTTATATTTTTTAATTCACAAATTTTAAGCATTTTTTTTATATATAGGTTCAAAGGAAGTACTCAATCTTATATAAGTAAAATTACTTAAAAAATTTGCACATTAAAAAAATTACTTAAGTTCATTTAATTCTATTGATTTCAAATAAAAGCTAAATTTTACTACCTAAACTACTATTAATAATGCTTATTGGAAAAATTAATCACATTTAATATAAGGAGTGTTTTTTTCCTTTTAAATGATAGCATCAAACAAGGTTAAGTGCATTAAATTTATTTATATTTAAATAAAAAATTAAGTACTTTTTTGCTTATCATTTTAGCTTAATTAAATTGAGGTTATCAAGGAAGTTATTAATTTTTTTAATCTTACATAATTTTGTTAATATTTTTTATTTTACCTTTTTTACGAGTTGTTTCCATAAAAAATTTCAAATTAACCATCATCAATTTCTTCTCCCATGTTTAAAGTTTTCAATATGATCTCTCTCCAAATACTACTCGCTATTTGTTATACTTAAAAATTAAAAGATATTAGTTATAATAACTATTCGACTATTGGCCTGAAAAGAACAATTTTTTTTATAAAATAACTAAAGAATTCAAGGATATAATTGAGAGAGAAAAAAATAATATTAACTTAAAATCTAAAAATAACTTATAAAATCTATATTTAAAAAAAAGTAGAATTAGATATATGGAGAGAATAGTTTTATGTGTTGTGTTATGTTACATGTGTACTATTTTTATTTTAATATAATAATTTATTATAAGTCAAGTTAATTAGAATTTATCAGATAACAAATTTTTTATTCGTTAATCAACATAAACATAATTGGGTAATATAAAAAATTATTCAACACAACTTAATGACTTAACTCACAAAAATATAATTAAATTAATTTAAATAAATCAGATTTGTAGAAGAGACATTAATACTTACTTATACCTCTAAATACAATAATTGTACTACATACTATTTCAGTCCTCATTATACCCATCCTAATTGTTTAAACCAACATTATATAACACATAATTTTATAAAATTGATCATAAATAAATAAAATACTATAATATATTTAATTTCAGCAAAAATCGTATAACATGTATCGTATATGAAATGTTTTGCTTCTATTAATAGCAGTTCCAACCCCGAAGAAAAAAAGAAGGAAAGAAATGGAACCAACAATATTTCTACGTTAGTGAGAAAGAGCTAAGAAAAGCATATTCAACCAAATTATGAAAAAGTAGCTGGTGCCTAGTAGATAGATATGTATTAATGAGGATCTAGATTTGTCTTTCACGAAACATGTACTGCTTTTATGAAATCCAATGCATTTGTCAGGAGAAAAGAAATGCACTTAACTGAAACCACATTAATTGGCACCCCAAAATAAGAAACAGATGCATGCAATAAATAAGAGTTACCAAACACAAATTGATGGAAACATAAACAGTGTACCTGTGCAACGCATAGTGGTTGATCACCTGGTTTAAGAAAATCCTTACTCTTGTGAACAAATTTTGCAAAAGCTGGATTGGGATAAACCAAGTCCCCAATCTCACTCAACTTGTATTCACATGAAGCCACCACAAAGCCAGCACCCTCTGCGTTGCAATCTATCTCCAATCTGTTGGTTTTGGAGTTCAGCTTCAATCTTCCACCTAAGAAGTCATAGACCACTAGAGAATCCTCTAGAGCGTTCTTGAACATCTCGGCCACTTTCTGAGGTGAAAAGTCTTTGTTTGCTGCAAAGAAGTGAACCGTTTCCACGTCCAAGTTGAGGACCTTGTCTATGTTCGATAGGAACAAGGACTTCTGGTGAGTTTCTTTGGAAGGAAAAACCATTGAAGTTTCGTGGATGGTTACTTTCATGTCTTGAAGAAGTGGTGGAGATTCTAGGCAAGAGGTTTCCATGTTAATTTGAATCAAAGTGTATAATACGTATAATATAGTTATGTTGCTTTGGCCTTGTATATGTATATATAACACGTGTAGTGGGTGTTATCCTTACGGAGACATGCACCCTCAATCTCATGCTTCATGTACCATAACGTGCTTTAATATTTGCTTTAAAACCATTATTGCAGTGATGGAACTCGTGCTTTAGTATTTGCTTTAAAACCATTATTGCAGTGATGGAACTCCCTTACCCTGTATATATACCAACCAAAAAAAACAATGATTGGTCCCGTCCTAGCTCGTACACAACTAATCAAAATACACCATTCAAATTACAACCGATCAAAATACCTTTTGGAACTTACCCTGCACAACTACCTCCAAAAATGGCATTGCAATTACTTTAAAAAGAGAATGTTATGTAACAAAAAAATATTTTTTTCACTTTAAAATATCTTTATTTTTAGTTTAAAAAACATTTACTTGATAAATTAAAAAATCTTTGTAAATTAAAAATTTATATATTGTTATAGATTTAATGATAATACATTATTAAAGTATGTCAACAAACTTATTATTTATGGTAAATTGTTATTGGATGGAACGGTGAACGCATCCCATTAACTATAATACAATATAAAATTTTCTATTATAAACTTTTATTCTAATTTTCTTTTGATATCATAATCTTGATATTTAATAAATTTTTATTTGTACGTATTCTCTTAACATCAAAAGTAGTTATATTTATTTTTATGAGATGTATGCTTTTTTTTTTTTTTTTTTTTTTTCATTAAACTGATATTTTTATAAGTCATTGCTAATTTTAGAATAAATTGATTTGCATATTACCATAATTTTATCAAGTTTTTAAAATATTTTTTAATCAATTAAATCCTTATAATAATAAAAACGCTTTAAATAGTTCTTATAAATTAAAATCTTGAAATTAAATCTCTATTTAATAACAACGATAAATTCTATTATTTTATCTTAATGAATATTGTGACATGACAATGATAGATATTTCATAAACACTTTTTAAATTAATTAATAAAGAAATATACCTAAATAATGCTTTTAATATATATATATATATTAAAATTACAAAATTATAACGGTGTTAATATATAAGGATTTAATTACAAGTTTTCTAAACTATAAATATGTTTTAAAAATATTTTTAACTGCAAGAACTTAAAGTCGTAGGATCTTACATATTAATTTAACCTTAATTTTATTTATCATGTATAAATTTTTTACCCTACTATTTATTTTTTATATTTCCATCCCTGCATGATTGGTTCAGATTGTAACACGAGTTCACGAGGAAAGGAAGCAAATCATCAAAGGATTCCATTAAAAATAATAATTAATATATTTGATTTTATAAAATAAATTACGTAACTCTTTAATACATTCTTAATTATATTTTTTAATTTTTAGTAATAATAAAAAATATATTAATAATAGTTAAAAGTATAATAAAAATATTTAACTGATAAGAATCCTCCAAACGTCACACGAAATAGGATTGAAGAGTATAATTTATAGTCAAAAGAACACTCAATTTTAAATTATTGGTAATGGAATTATTCATGTTAAGGCTAGTTATTTTCTAAGAGACGTGTCGCTGGTTGATAAGCAGTCGAGCTTTTTTCATGAGCATCCCAACTTCCTTGCTAATTAAATAGGTAGATATAAATCACAAAAACTGAAAAAGTGGTTGGTAGCTAAACTTTAAAAATGGTATTAATACGAATATTCACCACCTTTTTATCAGGGAAATTATATTTTCTTTCTAACAGATTAAATTTTAAATTTTTAATGTATAAATCTGTAAATTTTTTAAATATTTAAAATTTATTTAATATTTTATTTGATTAATTTAAAATAATAAATAATCATAAAAATATTTTATATATTGATTTGAACTAATGAAATAAAGTGTTAAATAATTTTTAAATTTAAAAAAATTTATAAACTTAATTTATGTATTAAGAACTTTATTATAAAATTACCCATAATCCTCCTCTCTCTCATGTAACTTTGCATAAAAATAATCCTTTTTTCTCCCGTACCTGGATAAACAGTAGCTGAAACTAAACAAAGATCTCCTTGGTCTCCTCCTCTGAGTGCCCATCGACCTTCAAAGAGTGTAGAAGGAAAAGAAGAGAGCAAAGAAAAAAAAAAAGAAGAGAGAAGTGAAAAGTGTGTTTTTGGGAGTGCCAAAGTGTTCTATTTATAGGATCAGATGTCTCCGGAACGGCCCATTCCAAATCCAGAACAGCCCATTCTGGACTCTTAAACCACGAGTAAAAATCACATCCAGAATGGCCCGTTCTCAAACCAGAACGGCCCGTTCTGGGGTGCATTTAATACTTACAATTGTCATATTTTGGAACGATCCGTTCTCAACTCTGGAACGGCCAGTTCTAAATTAGGTGAAAAGGCCATTTCTGAAAATTGGAACGTCTCGTTCTCAACTAAGAATCATAAGTAAATTTAATGGTTTGGAACGGCCCGTTCCTAATTCGGAACGGCCCGTTTCGGTCTACCAAAAGTAGGTATATTTAGTAATTTGGAACGGCCCGTTCCAATTTTGGAATGGCTCGTTCCGGGCTACTAAACCGCCTTAATTGGGCTCTCGGCCTAGTGAAAATTAAACAGTAGCTGAAACTAAACAAAGATCTCCTTGGTCTCCTCCTCTGAGTGCCCATCGACCTTCAAAGAGTGTAGAAGGAAAAGAAGAGAGCAAAGAAAAAAAAAAAGAAGAGAGAAGTGAAAAGTGTGTTTTTGGGAGTGCCAAAGTGTTCTATTTATAGGATCAGATGTCTCCGGAACGGCCCATTCCAAATCCAGAACAGCCCATTCTGGACTCTTAAACCACGAGTAAAAATCACATCCAGAATGGCCCGTTCTCAAACCAGAACGGCCCGTTCTGGGGTGCATTTAATACTTACAATTGTCATATTTTGGAACGATCCGTTCTCAACTCTGGAACGGCCAGTTCTAAATTAGGTGAAAAGGCCATTTCTGAAAATTGGAACGTCTCGTTCTCAACTAAGAATCATAAGTAAATTTAATGGTTTGGAACGGCCCGTTCCTAATTCGGAACGGCCCGTTTCGGTCTACCAAAAGTAGGTATATTTAGTAATTTGGAACGGCCCGTTCCAATTTTGGAATGGCTCGTTCCGGGCTACTAAACCGCCTTAATTGGGCTCTCGGCCTAGTGAAAATTGGGCTGTTACATTTAGAAGTGTCTTAAATTGATGAATTTGTTAACATTTGTTTTAGTGAACTATTTTGGTTTCAATTCTAAGTTCTAGTTAATTTTTGTAATTTTTGTCCACTTTGACATGTTGTCTTCCAAATCCACATCCACATATAAATTCCACAATACATACACAATCCACAAAAAATAGTGGTTCACATACCCCTCAAGTAATTCACCATGAATCCTCATCTTCATCTAGATCATCAATTTTACCAAATCATGTAATAATAATATTTATAAATTAATATAAAACTAGATTAAATCGCCAATTTAATATAATTTTAACCCAAACAATAAAACCCCCAATTTTCCCAAAACCTAACTCACAGGCACTTTTCTATGATTTCGTTCTCTCTCCCAGATCATCATTTGTACAAACTAATCATATATTCACAATCCTTAACACATACAGAATCTAAAGGGATCATCAATTTCTCAAACAGAATTAATTATAAAATTACCCATAATCCTCCTCTCTCTCATGTAACTTTGCATAAAAATAATCCTTTTTTCTCCCGTACCTGGATAAACAGTAGCTGAAACTAAACAAAGATCTCCTTGGTCTCCTCCTCTGAGTGCCCATCGACCTTCAAAGAGTGTAGAAGGAAAAGAAGAGAGCAAAGAAAAAAAAAAAGAAGAGAGAAGTGAAAAGTGTGTTTTTGGGAGTGCCAAAGTGTTCTATTTATAGGATCAGATGTCTCCGGAACGGCCCATTCCAAATCCAGAACAGCCCATTCTGGACTCTTAAACCACGAGTAAAAATCACATCCAGAATGGCCCGTTCTCAAACCAGAACGGCCCGTTCTGGGGTGCATTTAATACTTACAATTGTCATATTTTGGAACGATCCGTTCTCAACTCTGGAACGGCCAGTTCTAAATTAGGTGAAAAGGCCATTTCTGAAAATTGGAACGTCTCGTTCTCAACTAAGAATCATAAGTAAATTTAATGGTTTGGAACGGCCCGTTCCTAATTCGGAACGGCCCGTTTCGGTCTACCAAAAGTAGGTATATTTAGTAATTTGGAACGGCCCGTTCCAATTTTGGAATGGCTCGTTCCGGGCTACTAAACCGCCTTAATTGGGCTCTCGGCCTAGTGAAAATTGGGCTGTTACATTTAGAAGTGTCTTAAATTGATGAATTTGTTAACATTTGTTTTAGTGAACTATTTTGGTTTCAATTCTAAGTTCTAGTTAATTTTTGTAATTTTTGTCCACTTTGACATGTTGTCTTGCATAGGCTATATCTAGAGCTCCCAAACTCAAAATCAAATGTTCTTGGTGTCTCTAGAAAGCTAAGACAAAGCTCTACAACGTTTTTGTTCAAAGTTTCATCCAGTTCAAACATTTGAAGGTCCAAAAATACACTTCAATGTTACACCTCTACACCTCATTTTAGGTTTACTTTAGAAAATTATTGTATTAGTAGTCCAAAATTGTTAATTAGTTGATTAGTGGGTAGAGCCTCATAAATATTTTAATTAGGTCCACTATATTGTTCTATTAATAAGTGTAGTGAGACTTGTTATGTACACTTTACACTCATTTTTCATATTTTAGAGTTATTTCCACTATAATTTTTTTAAATTCTCTCTCTCAAAATTTTCTCTTTACATTTTTCTACACGAAGGAACTGCAGCATCTTGATGAAGATGTGTGGTTAATCCATTTATTCAATTCAAAATTTTATAAATTATGGTAAAATTTGAATTTCTAATCTATTTTTACCATACGAATTCTCTTCATCTTTTTCTCCATTCTAGATCTATTTTTTGTTCTTCATGATTATGAATTTTGTTTTAATAGATTTGGATTAGATTTGAAGAGTAATTTTGGATCT